TTTTACTTCTCCACTCCACTCTTCACTCTTTGGCTAAATGTTGTTTACTCTTTGTCATTGTTGGTGTTGTTGCCATTTTTCTTTTGTTTTTCCCAACATTGTTGGTGCCGCTGCTTAACATTCACCTACTTTTCACCTTGTTAGCCACGTTTGAGCAGCAGCAGCAGCAGTAGAAAAAGCAAGTTCTGCGCTTGGCCCTGGCATCATCAAAGCCAACGGCGGAGGCTTCAAATGAAATTAGAAGTTGACGCAGTGCAAGAGTAGAAAAAGCAGCTAAAAAGCACCAAAAGGCGGCCAACACAATGAGGCACAACGGGACGAAAGGGGCTGAAACAAAAAGCCAACAATGCAAAATGCACGGAAAGCCAAAGCCAAGGAATGAAGCGATTTCAGATGAAGAAGGCCTACACTAAAAAACTATGAAGAACTATTACTTACAAGATCAAAACGTTTTAATATCTATAAATTACATGTTTAAGAAATTTTAAATTTTTTGAATAAATTCTCCTTCATTTGTAACATAACATAAAATGTACCAACTTTTTAATTTGAAGGTTCACATAATGAACTAATTCCCCACAATAGTTTGAATTTAATTCTCTAAAATATTTTAAACTAGTTTGGTAAAGTATTGCAGACTTGTGTTACTAATTCTCCGAAGATTATATAAAAGATAAATCGTGCTTATGAAATAAAATACCTTTAAATGATAAAAAAATGCGTTAAATATTTCAGATTACATTAAAGAATCGAAAAACCTTGAAAACGTTAATAATAGATGCATTAAATATTTTAGATTATATCTAATAATCAAAATAACTTTAAAAGGGTAAAATTAAATGCGTTAAATATTTCATACTGAATTTTAAAATCAAAAATCCCTTACAATCTCCAGTCACCTCTAGTTTCGCCCAGTGCACATCCACTCTCCTCGGCAGTGAGAAGATGAAAACTGAGCTCTAAGTAGAAAGTTAATTAGGCTTAAATGTGCGAGAAGTCGACGATGACGACGGCATTGAGTAGGAAACACAACAAATACAGCAAGAATAATAGCAACAATAGCCGGAGAGAAGATGAAGCAGAAAAGCCAATTAAAAATTCTTATGCTTTTGCTTTAATTTTTCCAGTCAGCTTCGCAGTCTTCAGTCCGCCAATGGCTAATAATAATTTTTTGGCCAAAAACTGCTCGACGGCATCTGCTTGCTTGTTAATTAATTTTTATGCATTTCTACAAATGTTCAATCCAAAAAACTTCGATGCGATGCGGACTCGGCTTGGCGCTTTTTTGTTCGCGTGCAGCGAAGCGAGCCAATCAATGGCCAGCGAAACTTTCGTTTCGACTGAATTTCACTCGCTGGCCCACAGGCGCCCACAGAAAATCGCCCAGAAATCACTGGCCAACACGCCGCCAACTTGGTTGACATTAATTGGACCCATTAAACGGTGTTCGCTAATAAGTTGGCATCAACTAAGTTTCGGAAGTGGCGCTCTAGCTCTTCCGTTCCGGCCATTGTTGCCGCTGTTCTCGGCCTTGTCCGGCGGACAGATGCGTCCGAATTGGAACGATTAACACTCGAATTGTTTACGGCGGATTGGATTGTGTGTTTGCGGCCCTAATGACATAACAATCTGTGACCCAGGTCAACTTAAACTGGACTAACCACATCCGACAGAGGGATACCTTAGAAATCAGACTTAAATCAAGGGATTTTGTAAGCAAGAATTAAGAAAAACTTCTGTGATTTTATTTAAATAAAAAGTTTAGGTATCACACATACTAAAATGCTAATGAAGTTTAAATTAATCTTAAAAAGACATTATTTGCTACGAACAAATAATTTAAAATATATATTACTAGCTAAAAATTTCTCAAATACATTTAGGTACATTTTAAAATATATTTAAAAAGAATATTAAATATATAAAAGTTTGAAATAGAATAAGTTTCATATATTTTTAAAAATGATATTTATTTAAGAACAACACGTATAATATTTAGATATTTTTATTGAAAGTCAAAACTACATTCTCATGTTTTATCGAGATTTTGTCTAATATTTTGGGAATACCATAAGGAGAAACATTTTTCTACACACCTATGGTTAACTAAATTTGTTAAAACTATATTCCTTATTTTTTAAGTGTACAAGTTAAATCCCAACAAATATTTTACGGTTGTCTTTTTTAATAATTTATTTATAATCTGGTTTTGAGACACTTACAAATTGCTTCCAACTAGCTATAGCTACTGGGCCGTAAGCTAGTAGTTTTCATGGTTAATTTTCCCCATCTTAGGCGCATGATAATATGTCAATGTAAAATCTGAGCTACCCCCTCCATATCCGTTACCACCGCGATGACTTCATCGAGAAGCTCATTCCCACTGACCAAAGAGGAAGCATTAGCGTGGCCTAAAGGTCGTGCCATCAACGCGGCCAACGGCAGCAACTAATTTAGGGCTTAACTCTAATCAAAGTTGAGCAGCCCGTCGGACTGAAATCCCACGGATGCGTGCCTGCATGCGAGTGTGTGTATCTGTGTTGGCCATAATTGAATGGCGAGGGAAGGGGGTTTTCCAGGGGGCGTTCTGGTAATCCACTGGGCAATGCAGAATCCACAAAAGGGTCTCCTACACTCCAGCTATCCAACTTTCTGCATGCGCCAGTCAATTTGCATTTTGAGGAGCCCGGCAACTGTTGCATAATTAAAATTGGAAAATTAATTTCATAATTTTTGCCAGCGCTTTCATTATTAACAATTGTCCCGAAAAAACAAAAGCTTCTCTGCTGACCAACATTTTCCATGTTTTTTGCTGCTTTTCAGTTTTGCTGTTTTCAGTTTCAGTTTTCAGTTCGCTACGATTCTGGGCATCTCGATGAGCTTTTGTTTCGGGTTCCGAGTTCCTGTTCTGGTCGTTTGGCTGGTTCCATTTATTATTTATGTGCATTTTGATGTGGAAAATATTCCCTTTACATCTTTTTGTTTGCTTTGTTATAGTTATTTTACTGCGTGATGTTTTTTTGTTGCTACATGGAGTTTTGCCAGTTGGAAATTTGTCGCCACCCGGAAAACTTTTTGGGGAGATATTTATATATATTTTGCGTATTGTCATTTGGATAACATTGTAATGCAGCTGGGCTACCAAAGTTTTTCTTCTATTTTGTTGCAGTACAAGAACTGGAAAATCTGAAGAGCAATTTCCACTTCACACTCTTCGGTCATGTGGGTTAATTAGCAGTGGCTTTTCCTCAACTAAAGGGAAAACACTTGGTGGTGAATGCAACATATCAGGCCTTTGGATTTCCGCCTTGGTAGTTCCGATTTAACCCCGGCTTGGAAACTACAGTTCCGATTTAACCCGGGCTTAATGAGGCCGCAGATGCAGAGTTGGCCAAAAGAAATCGCTGATGTAATGCCACGCACATTTGCCACAAGGCAATGCCCCTACCACACCGCCTAACTGCCCATTGTGTGTAAATTTGTTACCATTTTTTTTTGCTTTTTCGTATCTTTTTTTTTGTTGTCTTCTGCGTTAGCTCGTATTGCACATAAAGGTAATTTCTAATTTGCTGGTGTTTTATTGTTTTTCTGCCGGTTCATTTTATGGCGCCGACTTATGCAACACCTCTAAAGGCAGCGACGCATGCGCTCGAATTACACACATGGATGTGGATGTGGACATGGACATGGACTCTAAACGCGTACCGCTCGCAGGGCCGCTTCGATATTGGCCGTAAAAGCATAACGGCGTCCATTAATCATGCGGGTCACGTCCAACTGGGTAAAAAAGAACTGAAAACCTACACTAACACAAAATGTCGAATAGCGAAAAAAGAATATGCTCTAGTAAACGGAGAACTAATTGTGAATAATTAATGAAGTCTTGGGATTAAATATATCAGACCTTGGAAAAAACAAAATCTGATATCGTAGGTATTTTATTTTATTCTGGGAAGTTAAGGGGTTTCTTATAGCCATGCCTAATTAAAGAATTTATATGTCTACAACATTTAAGTATTCCAAATCTAGCGTGGTTGTTAAATTTTAGGAAATAAACCTCTCACTGAAACTTAAGTACTATTTTTCAATTTCTCTTATAAAGATGTTCCAAAATTCTTCAATTAAAACTATTAATATCTAGATTAATGTCTTATTTAATTTTTTATATCTTTTTTATATACCTATAGTTTTTTTATGTTCGAAGTTTAGATAGTTATTATTACTAGCACGGCATTGAAGAAATAAAGTAGAAATAAATCTCCTGATTTTATAAAAACGCTTTTCCCAGATTTTACTTTTTTTAGTTATGAGTATAAATTATGGAACCTCGTAAACCTCGAATTTTCATTGCTCAAAGGCAAAGCCAAAGAGAAAGGCTCATTAATTAATGAAAAATACGACTTGTTATGTTCCTTGAAATTTATTCTTTGTATTCTCAAAAGAACTAATTACCTAACACCGGTAAATCTTCATTTTATTTTTTATGACGGACTAAAGCACTTCCATTCTTTAATGTTTTAGCTTTGGGACTTTGAGAACTTTATTCCCTGATTTAAGTAGTCAAGTTTTTTCCCAAGTGCAGCGAGACTAGAGGGAATAGAGTGTGGCAGCAAAAGAACAGTAGCATCGACAACTGTTGCCAATTAGCGGCAACAAGCAAAGCACATTTGCATTTGCATTGAACCTGGAGCTCTCTATTCTGATATTCTGATATTCTTATATTCTGCCTGAAGGCGATGACACCGGTGGCAGCAACTGAGCTGGAAAACGTAATCGTTGCAAGTCGCGGCGCGAGATTAGCCTCAGCTAAGGGCAGGTACTCCACCCTTCCAATTGCCCCTCCTAATTGAGCTCTTGAGTTACAATGTGCAGCAATAAATTGAGGATTTTTGCATACCTGGGAAAGGCCGGGAAAGCCTGATCGAACTACCTGGCTGGCTTAAAAGTCGCCCGCACACGCACTGATTGCATCATTTGGCCTCAAACCAGCGACTAGAGCGTTTCAATTTGCATAGCATAGTACAGAAACGAGAGAAAATAAATTCAGGAAAATATGTCTGAGTATTCCTGCAACTATTATAGTGACTACACCCCGAGGACGGAGAAATCCGTGAGCTATGCCCTCTATCTGCATCGCAGGGAGTTGGGGCGCCCCAGGCGCAAGATGATGCGAATCGCGAGCACCAAGTTGCAGCTGACAAATGAGCTCATCCAGCTGCAGCAGCGTCGCCAATGGGAGACGGCCTTTGACCCGGAGTTCGATGCGGAGGCCAGTTCCCAGCAGATGAGTGCTTTGGATCGGGAACGGGAGTATCGCGACCGATTGCGCACCAATATGCAAAGGCAGCTCGAGAAGCAGCAGAAACGCAAGCGAAAGTATCTCCAGGAAATCGGCAAGCTATCGTATTAGCCACTATAACGCGGAAGTCATTAATTAATTAATTGATAGCCATATTAGGTATTATTAAGAGTATTATAACTCACAGAGGCAAACAAGAAAATCTGGAACTCTGAGGCACACGTTCTAATTGCCTGAGTAATTTTAAAAATATTAGAATTATTATATACACTCAGGAAAACCATAAAAAATAATTAAGGAACATATTTTGTGATAACCTTTTAGTCACAGTTTTATTTTTCTTGAGAAAATATTATTTAGTATTAGATGACAACTACATGTGTATAACAATATATGAATTATTTTTTAAGTCTAGTAATTAAATTTAAAATTATTTTTTTAAAACTTACAATCTCAATTAAATATCAGTATACACACTAAGTAACAACTCTGGTTTTCAATCTAATATCACTGGGAAAGCATAATATTTATGCATTATAAATGGATATAAATATCAAAACTAAGTTGAAAAAACTCAGATTCGCAGAATCTTCAGGCACGTTTGCAAAATTGCATTTCTTCAATTCCAGGCCAGGGACTTTAAACTAGTTTTGGCTATCCCAAGTAAAGTATCATAAATCACCGAAAAAACTGTGTCTCCGTGTGACTCCCACAACTCAAAAGATTGGGGCTGAGACAAGCAATAGTGTTTGACTTTTGACACTCTTTCCTAGGCGGTTAAGGTGGGAACGCCTGTCAAGTACAGGAAAAAATGCAATATGATGACCAAATAACGACTTAAAGATACCCAACAACTAATAAATAGTATTTCAAAGATAATTGGTTTTTTGTTAGAAGCAGCTATGAAAATACGGCAATAAATGTGATTTTTATCGTAGCTAGCAGTTGGAAAGTTTTTCCGAAAATATATTTTGTACTTGTACTTAAGATTTTGTGAATCATTAAACTTTTTATGGTTACATGTTAGTCCCTAGTATAAGCTATAAACCATAAATAAAGGTAAATGTGTAAGAAAAAACTTGTATTAATAACAAACTTGTTTATTAGTTGAAGTCAATTGAAAGGCTTGCGGTTGTAAAAAGTATTTTAGTATTAGGTATATTAATATATTTGATAAATTGTATTTCAACGAAAATCTTGGCAGGTATTGGTTTCCTTGGGCAAATATAAGCATAACAAGCAAACTACAAATAAAATCTGGTGTTTTTTAATTTCATATGTAGTAAATTAGTTTTTCACTTAACAACATAGTTGAGTATAATCACTATATACCCCGATTTCCACCGAATACCCCGTGGAAAAGAAAAGCGCCAAGAACAGGCAAGGAAATGCAACAGAAGCCGCCCAAAGGTGAGCGCGCGGCAACTTTTTTCAATTTCCTGCTGCCATTACGCGAAGCGTCGCAGCTGTGTGGTGTCGTCCCTCTCGCACACAGTTTTCCACCACCCCCTCCCCCACTCAGAATTTTCCTGGCCATTGACGTTTTTCCCGCACGAAGGCTATGCCTTCTCTGTTTTTTTTTTGTTCATTTGGTTTTTCTCTGGTCGCGGTTGTTGTCTTCGCTCTCGCTTCTCGCTTGATTTGTCACACAGTCCCAACGGGAAAATAAACCTGTCCCCGTGTACTATACTCGTACTCGTACTCGTACTCCCAGTGTCTCTGGGCCGCGGAAAACCGGTATGAGCGCTTTCTTTTTGCTCCCACTGTGGGCCGAGTGGGGAAATGCCCAGGGGGTGGCAGAGGGGGCGGGATGCATTGCGTTCATCTTAGCTCTCGTATTTAGTTGCAATTCCTTTACACACACTCGCTCCTTGCACCCACACAGAAAAAAAATTCTAAGCTTATTTCAAAAGATCCTAAGTTGGTTATAAAATGCTAAGATATATAAGGTTTGTCATAATGACAAAACTGTAGATCTACCAAGTAACACTATCTTGGAAAGTAAATTATCGTGCAGATTGAAAATCAATATTTCTATTTCTTATAATACCTTGTCATATCTTAAAAATATATTTTAAACAATTATAAGTTTAAGAAACCTGACTTTAAAAATCAAGCTTACCAATGTTAAACCAATTCAGTTACTCATGAAATGTTAAAACATATAAGATTTAACGAAAACGTCTGTCATAAGAACCAAATTGCAAGATAAACCATATAGCAGGGAATGTAATTTATTGCCAAGGTCTACAACCAAAATTTGTATTTATATAATACCATAGTTTATGTAAAAAAACTCCCTGTGTAGCAACCCTAGTCCCCATCGCTTGTTTACTATTCTAAGTGCAGTATCTTGGCGAGTTTCGCTTAGTTTTTTACAGGCTTTTTCTTTTTTGTTGGCATGTCGGTTATTTATGCGCCTTGTTGTCCCAATTCTTGAAAAATACTACAACAAGCCTCGTGACTGCGTCTATGTGTCTCTGCCCATGCACTTTAAGCTGATTTTTTTTCCACCGGCCAGCTATTTTTAATAAGCAATGCTACAAAAACGTTCCCCTTCTGGCTTTTTGTTTCACTTACCTCACTTTATCCATTGGCCATTAAACGCTACAAACGCTGCAAAAAAAAGAGAGGAAAAAGAGTTTTTTATTATTTAAGGCAGAATCAATATGAGAAATTCCGCTGACAGCGAGCAGAGCTCTGCGTATATGCATATAACATTTTACAACAGGCCACGGGCGGGGACTCACATAAATTTAATACCTTTTCAAATTGTTTTTCATAACCCATTTTCCTATAAATGCTGCTGCACTCTGTTGGCCAGCAGATAAAGTGCATTTGTTTACTTTTCCTTTATTTTACGCTGCAGTAATTGTTGCAACGGCAATGGCGAAAAAACAAATACGAACAATGCAAACTAAATTTGCTGCTTGTTCTTTGCTGAATTTTCTCTATGTATTTTGGGCTCATAGCATTTGAGCTACTGCTGGTTTGTTGATATAATGGGCTTCATTAATAAGCTGCTTAAAATGCCTAGTGAATTTAATACGCATTCTAATGTTCGTATTCCACTTCTAATGAGGTTTTAAGCTGTTCAGCTTAATTTTATGAAATGAACTGGGTTGCTTGCTGGTACCTTACCTAATTTATCATCATCGATTCGCATTTCTAAGAGCTTCGATAATGAGGTTCAACCTAATAATTTATCTAAGGTGAACATGGCTGTCTAAATCCCTTAAAATACGGCAGTTATTTCACATTCTAATGTTGTGTACCTAACTAATTATGAGGCCATAAGCACAGTTCACTTAAAGCCTTGAGAATTGTTCATCAGAGTAGGCCAAAAGCAATTAATATTCGATCGTTTTAACATGTTAATGTGAGAAAATATGTATATTTTTTTGCCCAATCAGAAAACATTCTTGTTTTAAATAAATAAGGAAGAATAATAATTAATTTCAATTAATACGCTCACCTATTGGAGCATAACACAATAGTTGCTACAGCAATTTACTTAGATATAATATAATTTATAATAAAAAAGATTAACAATTTTTAATGTGACTTATGATATATATTTTTTAGGAACTTCCTTAATTGTAAGTACAGAACAATTATTATTTCTGTATTTTCTTTTGGTGTGGGAACCCTTTCACAACGCGCCAAATGTTATCATTAACCCCTTGATGCCCCATCTCTTTGTAAGTTCATAAACCCTCGTCTTTCTGTTCATTCAACCATGGGACAATGGCAAACTTTGGATTCTACCATTTTTAAGTTCTCTCGATGATTTTTTCTGCTACTGTTTGTTTATTTGGTTTTTCTGTTTTTTTTACACTTGTTTTGCACTTGGGCTTCTTCTGCTTTTTGTTGCATTGAATTCTGCGTGTCAGCAGCAGCTGTGTTGGCCACTAAACAACGACCGATGTAACAACAACTGTAATAATAGCAACAATAATGGCAAACAAAACAAAAAACACACTCCGGCACAAACAAACAACATTGTACAAATAACCACACTTTTTATTGCTACCAAAGGGGGGAGATGGATGGAGTAGTAGTTGCCAAAGCAGAAGAAGCAGGCCAGTGACGGGGGGGTAAATTCATTGAGGAGGGGGCTGGCTGCCAAAGTGGGCGGTGTGAGAGCAGTAAACACAAATAAACAATTGCAATTGTGTGGCGATGGTTGTAATTCTGTGAGCTGCTAAATCGTCTGTAAATACTTTTGTACAAGTTAACAGTTATAAATGGGCTTTTTATGAGTTGTGTGGGACAATATTTGTGAGTACACTACACAACACTGGACACGAGTTGAAGGAGGGTTGGAAAAATGGGGGGGGGATGGATAAAAGACCTGAACAACCTTATGGAGGAGAAGGATGTGGCTTTCGAACGAAAGATACTCGTTAAAAAACTTGGTATACAAAAATTGGTGCCCGAAACACTTTAAGACTCCGAGATCCAGTAGGTTTTGCTGGAAAGTTTTCTTTATATGCGCAATAAGGAAGTGTAATTACCAACTCTCGGTAAAAATTTAGAGTAGCTGTAAAAATTAAGTGTTTTCCTTAATCACAAGCATCAGAAAAGTTCGCATACCAAAAACCGTCTTCTGAACTCCAATAGAACCTGAGATCCATTACTGCAATATATGAAACCTGTACTTATCACATTTATGGCAGATAATTCGCGGGAAATCTTTGCTAAGATAAGAGGGTTAGTCAAATTATCCCAATAATCACAAAAGAAGCGCGCATACCAAAGATGGTACACCGAAGTCTCAAGGATCCCGAGATCCAGGTGTTTTATGCAGCAATACAGTACGTACATTACTATAGTAATTGGGTATATGATGCCCAATGATAATGGCATTGAGCTGAGTTTTTGCTACTGCCACAGCTGCACTGTAGCACTGCCTTCGCTCCACATTTTTCATGTTGCAGGCATTCGGAATCGCTTAGAAAGTCACTTGAGGGATATGGCCAACAACGGCATGGGGCGAGTGAAGCCAAACACTTTGCTTATGTCTGTTTGTCAGTCAAGTGAAATCGTATGCCGCCTTCTGCGTCCGCTCCATGTCCATGTCCATTTCCAAGTCCATGTCCAACTCTGAGTCCGATTCGGAATACGAATCCCAGTTCGAAACCAACTCGACTTCGATGTCTGCTTGTTGTCTGGCCGAGTGGCAAGCAGTTATTGTTACGATTTATGGCATACGCACAGCAGCAGATGAACGGGGGAGAGTTTTCCACCCATCCGGGGGATTTCTATTGATTTTTT